CACCAGACTCCATAGTGGTATCGATAAGCCCAAACGGTGTTGATTTTCGGGTTTTGAAAAAAGTGGAACCGGGTCCTTGATAGAACCGGGTTTCGATCCCCATTCCTACACAAGGGTCCAGCTTTCACACCTGAAGCCCCTCCGCTATGCGTCCATGTGTTGCCTCTACATGTATGTAAATATGCTCAGACCAGGAAGTCTACCCAGCCTAAATACAGTGGGGGAAATAAGTATTTGACCCCTTGCTGATTTTGCAGGTTTGCCCACTTACAAAGAATGCAACGATCTATAACTTTAATCATATGTACATTCTAACAGTGAAAGACAGAATCCCAAAGAAAATTCCAGAAAATCACATCATATGAATTTATAAAACTTGATAACCATCTGATGAGGAAAAATAAGCATTCTTTGTAAGTGGGCAAACCTGCAAAATCAGCAAGGGGTCAAACACTTATTTCCCCCACTGTAGGTCTCTGAACACAGAACCAGGCTAGCCTGAAAACCTGTTTGTAAGAAACTCTGGATGCTAGCAGAAATCTAGTGGGACCATTAGACCAGCTACCCTGATCATCTTTAATGTTGTCAGTTGGTAATTTAGCCTCTCTGGTTTAGTTTTGAACTCATTGGCTTCTAAAGACGTCTATAGAGGTCTTTTATGTTTTTCAACGAGAGTGTCTGGGGGACGATCTGCTAAAGCTTGTCCGTAAATATGGGCTTCTAGACAGAGTATGTAGTAACAAATTGAGCCTCTAGGGGGCAGTGCCACTTTTGATGGGAGATGAGCATAGACTGTAGGCAAATAAGAAAAAGGGAACGGTTCTATGAGAGAACATGTCGCCGGTGAGACGCAAGTCCAGGAAGAACGGAATAAGGTGGAAACACATTTTTTTTCCTGATGAAAGAAGAGAGTCTACTCTTTCTTTTGGTGTGTTCGGTGTTTACATAGTCATAGCACAAACTATTCTGTGGCTCTAGAAAAATCAGTCAAAATGCTCAAAAAACTCTGGCAGTATGGGACTCTGTTCTGAAAATGGCTGCCAGTCAGTGAGTTAAATGTGTTCATCCTAACCCTAAAATCGGGGGAAACTGACCTGGTTTACAGCATCAGGCCAGTTTTGGGTCTCCAGGCAGAAAGCGCTGTGTTTCCCGTACTTGAAACCGCCCTTTCCTGTCACAGAACCATCCAGGACGTTGGCCGTGTAAAACTGGACTCCTGGTTGGCTGGTGGACACCTCCAGGACACGCCCACTGGCCGGGTGAAAGACTCTGAAATGAAGAGGCCAGTTAGTCATGAGATTTCAGTCTATCTGTGTGTGTGTGTATTGTATGTGTGTCTTTCTGTCTGTCTTTGTGTGTCTGTGTGTGTGTGTGTGTGTGTGTCTGTGTGTGTCTGTGTGTTTGTGCGTGTCTGTCTGTCTGTGTATGTGTCTGTGTTTTTGCGTCTGTGCATGTCTGAGTGTGTGTTAGTCTGTGTGTGTCTGTTTGTCTGTGTTTGTCCGTGTTTGTGTGCGTGTCTGTCTGTGTGTGTGTGTCTGTGTGCATGTCTTTCTGTCTGTCTCTGTGTGT